TTCTCTCTTAGGAGTTAATATGACAATATGCTAACAGGAAAATGTAAAATATAGTTTCATTAAGAATAAGTTGCATTATGAAAGTGAAGCAGAGGGGCCAGCACTGTGATGTAGTGGGTAAAATTGCTGCCTACAGTACCGGCAATCCCACATGGGTGCTGGTTCGAGTCCTGGCTGCTCAACTCTCTGCTATGGGCTTGGAAAGCAGTGGAAGATGGCCCAAGTGCTTGGGTCCCTGCACCCATATGGAGGACCTGGAGGAAGCTTCTGGATTCCAGTGTTGGATCTGTGCAGCCCCAGCTGTTGCAGCCATTTGGGGAGTGACCCAGCAGATAGAAGACCTCCCTCTCTATTTCTCTCTGCATAACTCCAACTTTCAAATAAATAAATCTTTAAAAAATATAACATGAAGCAGAGTAAAGAGATTGAGAACAAAGTGGTTTGGAAGGCAGCATACATTTCTTAGCTTCCTCCTCAAACACTGCACCCTCACCATTCATCACCTCTCATCTCCTTGGCTTTTCTCTATCATTTCAATTACTCTGTTTCAGTTCATTTGCCATTTCTTCTGCCTAAAATTAGATGTGGATATTGCTCAGGTGTTTACCATTGCAGTGCTTGTCCTCCTACTTTACAAATATGTGTAGTGCCTGGGTAAACTCATCTACTCCTCATGACTTAATACTTATTATTTTGTTAAAGAAATTTACATTTATCCTGAACACAGAACTCATATGCAACTATGACCATCACAGGTTCCTCAAAAGCAATATGAGAAAAATTAAAAGTAAAATTTGCTTTCCCTTTGTTAAAGCTTACCTCAGAATATATCACTGACATTCTTTTTTTAAATATTTTTTTAATTTAGTAAATATAAATTTCCAAAGTACAGTTAATGGATTACAATGGCTCCCCCCCGCATAATTTTTTTTTTTTTGACAGAGTGGACAGTGAGAGAGAGACGGAGAGAAAGGTCTTGCTTTTTTGTTGGTTCACCCCCCAACGGCTTCTGCAGCTGGTGCACCACGCTGATCCAATGCCAGGAGCCAGGTGTTTCCCCTGGTCTCCCATGTGGGTGCAGGGCCCAAGCACTTGGGCCATCCTCCACTGCACTCCTGGGCCATAGCAGAGAGCTGGACAGAAAGAGGGGTGCCCAGGACAGAATCTGGTGCCCTGACCAGGACTAGAACCCGGTGTGCCAGCACCGCAGGCGGAGGATTAGTCTATTGAGCCACGGCACTGGCCGCAGTTATCTTTCATTATTCATTTTTTTCATTATTCACTGCCCTGCAACTTGATTCATTCTTGTTTTTTTCTGGGTCCTGCGGAATGGTAGTAGGTTGCTTCTGGAATATCCTTTTTTGTGTTAGTAGATATTTGGTCATCTAAAATCATAGTTTTTAGTTTCTATATTCCTCTGCTAATCATGAGGACCTTCCAGATGACTGCAGAAAACACTGGCAGAAATGAGGATGTATTAATTTGCTAACAAAATACCACAGAGAATTTGATTTAAATTGTGGAATTTTACATCTGAGAGTTGCAGAGGTTGAAAATATCAGATCAAGGTCCTAATAGGCTTGATTTTTCCAGAAGCCTTTCTCCTGATGTGACAGACATATATATCATTTGACCTGCTTAAAAGCACTTTCTTCAGATAGAGTCACATTGGTGGTTAGCACTTCAATGTTTGAGTTTTAGGGAGGCACATTTCAATCCATAACAGCAAAAGGGGCCCTGTGGTCTGGCTGATAGACAGCAACTCTGGGGAGGACAGAAATTTTGAAATGAGTGTAGGATTTCTTACAGTATTACTTTCAGTACTAACTCCATCAAAAGTTGTGCATTCATGTACACACAAACAAAAATACCTATACACATTAATGCATTCTACAGTGGAAGTGCCTGATGGTTGTGTACAGGCAACATCAATATAATGCTTCATAAGATGGCATATTAGCAGGTATTAAAAAGAGAATTAGAATAACAATAAAATCTGCAGTTACCTATATATATATATATATATAGGTACAAACAAAAATTGTGTTTGATGGCAAAGTCAATGAGGTGTCCATGTATACCTCAGAAGAAGTATCTTTTCAAGGTGAAGGCAAACTGAGACTGAGGGGCTTTTGGAAAAACTTTGAACAAAACACATTTTCCACACTTGTAATAGTTAAGACACATCATTTATCTATTGAGATGCATCAGATTTGTTAACATTAGGTATAAGGTACAGTGGACATGGTGGGTGGCATACAGCAGTATGATTTTAGTAATTATCATGAGGTGCTTTTTTTTTTTAAAATAGATTTAGCAGGTAATATTGGGCTGCCTAATGGGGAATAGCTGGAGTAATCTCCTTTTTGTTAAATAAATCTGAGGCAATAAATGTCAGTGTAAGAAGACATTGAGTTTTCTTTTATTGAGCCATCTTGGTTATTTTAATCTGGGATCTGTGAATTCTCATTTTCTCTAGCCAAGTTGCAACTTAAAAAGTATTTTATTCCTCATCATGTTGGACTAACTCTGCTGCTTCTGGGATTTTTTTGTACATCTGACAATTGGAAATGGAGACAATAGTATAATTAAAATGAGATACACCAAGTAAAGTATGTATTTTTCTTCTGATACATATTTTGGAATTCTTCTAAAATTCCTTGTTAAATTTAGTTGAATCCCTGGTTAAGACATATTGGAGCCACACTACTGAGTACACCTATGAAACTTTGTTCATAAATGCATATAGAACCTGGGAAAGTTGATGTATATCTTATGCTGTAGAGACATAAGATGGAACATCTTTTTTTATCCTTTTTCATTATAAAATTTAAAAACAAATTTAGGTTTTCAATAGGATCATATTATGATATATTTAAATACAATTCCCAAGAATTCTTTCCACATTTGAATTTCTCCACTTATACTATGTTTCTTTAGGTTGTAAATATGTCAAGCATTAATGAGGAATTGATTATTATGTGGATATCTCTTGTGGTTAGACAAGTTCTGATGTATCCCCTCCATGTCCCAGGAGGCTGATTTTCTAGCTGATGTATGGATCATCTTCATTGCTTCTAATGGAGGCATGCATTGGTATCTGGGAATCTAGCCTCATCTGCCCATGATGTCAGTGGGTCAGGACCATGGGAAATCTCCTCTGGCCTCCTTCTCAGCATGTGCCATTCCAACCACTCCCACCATCTTCACAGAATTCCTGACTCTGGGGCTTTCCTCATATTGCTCAAGAACTGTGTGGTTGGTTTCTGTCTGTGGATGTTAGTGTGAGGGTGAAAGGAACCTTGGAGAGCAGGACAGGTGTCTGTCTCTTGGTGGCATAGGTGACAGTCATAGATCTGAGGTGTTAAGTTATGTCATTCAGGTGCACCCTGTAGATCTTGGCTGGCCTAGGAAGGGACACCAATGCCACATCCTCAGTTCTGGAGCTGGAGAAAGGGTGAATAAGGTTGAGATTTTAAAGATATTTTTGTCAAAAATTGGTGCACTGAAACAAGACCAATGTGTTTCCCATTGTACAGAGGCAGCTACAAAAGTTCTGTAGAAAGACTGTTTCATCCAGAGCCAGCACTGTGGTGCAGTAGGTTAATCCTCCATGTGGGGTGCCGGCATCCCATATGGGCACCATTTCTAGTCCCGGCTGCTCTTCTTCTTATCCAGCTCCCTGCTGTGGCCTGGCAAAGCAGCAGAAGATGGCCAAGGAGCTTGGGCTCCTGCACCTGGGTGGGAGCCCAGGAAGAAGCACCTGACTCCTGGCTTTAGATCAGCACAGCTCCATGCATTGTGTCCATTTTGAGAGTGAACCAATGGAAGGAAGACATTTCTCTCTGCCTCTCTCTCTCACTGTCTGTAATTCTACCTGTCAAATAAATAAATAAAATTCTTAAAATAAGAAAGAAAGAAAGAAAGTCTGTTTCATCCAAGATGGCAATGTGATGGAGCTGGGTGTTCAGGCCATTTGAGATGAAACCTGTATGGGTGACTGTCGATTGCAGCTCTGTCACTGTTTTGAACTGTCACTCACATGGGATACAGGCAGCAGCTTTACCCACTAAGCCACAGTGTCAGTCCCCAAAATAACTTTCATTAATGTAAATTTTACTGAATGTAATTAATTTCAACAATAACAAAGTTTTACTGTTTTTTTATTGTTACAATATCATTTAATAAAATTTTTGCAATGCTTTCATTAAACCAAAGATAACTTCTGATTAATCTCTGCCACTTAATAGAGGTGGGTTCAGTTGCCATATATTTGCATGTTTAAATAATTTTTCCTCCATGGTGAAGTTTATGTTTTCTTTATTTATGTATTCATGATTCTTTATTCATTCTAGCACTCCTTTTTCTACAGTGCAATGTAGAAAGAAAGCCATGAAATTTTCTTTTAAATGCTTGCATTTATGTTTTTTTCCAGGTATGATTCAGGACACCTCCAGATATTTCAAAGAGCAAAGAAAATTAATACATCACCTGCAGATTGTGTACTTTATTTTATGCATTTGAAAGACATAGTCACAGAGAGTAACAGAAAAAGAGAGAGAGAGTCTTGCATCTGCTGGTTCATTCCCCAAAAGGCCACAATGGTCAGAGCTGAGCCAATCTACAGGCAAGAGGCAGGATCCTTCTGCATCTCTCAGATAGGTGCATGGGCCCACGCCCTTGAGTCATCCTCCAGTACCTTCCCAGTAATATTTGTAGGAGCAGGATTTAAGGTGGAGAAGCTAGGACTTAAACTGGCACTCATATGGGATGCTGGCTCTGAGGGCTGGGGCTTTATCCCACTGTGCAATAGCACTGGGCCTGTGTTTTTTTTTTTTAATTATTCTCAGGTTGCTGTCAGTTTTCTTTTTAGATTTATAATAATTTGTTAATAAAAATGGAAAAATAAAGATAAATTTTATTCTTAGGGAATATATAAAAACAAGGCAAATGAATTTGTCATGACTATCAAGCATTGAAGTAATCTAACATAAGGCAATTTGGTCTCATCTTTCTGTTGCCATAGCAAAATACATATTATTTATATTTTTAAATGAGGCTTCAAGGATAATATTCGAAATTGGGGGTCATGATGTCAAATACAGTCATTATTGTTATATAGATGATGTAGTGGGCAGTGTTTCAGTACCACCCTGGAAATAAACACTGAACATTCTGCAAGGGTAAGAGTTAGCTAGTGCTAAAACACAAATCAGTTGCATTTATTTTTTTAATTGTTAGAGTAATGCAGACCTTCATAATTTGGGGAGCTGACCTTGATTCAGAGATAGCATAAGGGCTGTGTGAGGAAAAAAATCTATTGCAGGTTCTTTTATGTTTTAAGTTTTTATTTAAAAATTTATTTTTTATTTGAAAGTCAGAGTTACAAAGAGAGAGAGGCAGAGAGAGAGAGAGAGGAGAGATCTTCATCTGCTGGTTCACTCCTTGGCTGCCTACAATGCCCGGAGCTGTGCTGATCTGAAGCCAGGAGCCAGAGCTTCTTCTCAGTCTCCCACATGGGTTAAAGGGCCCAAGGGTTTGGTTCTTCTTCTACTGCTTTCCCAGGTCATAGCAGAGTGCTAGATCAGAAGTGGAGCAGCTGGGTCTAGAAATGGCACCCATATGAGATGTCAGCACTTTAGGCAAGGGTGTTAACCCACTGCACCACAACTCTGGCCCCAAGATTTATTTATTAACTTATTTGAAAGGCAAATAGAGATATGGAAGGATGGGTAGTAAGAAAGAGATACCTTCCATCTACTGGTTCATTCACAAAATGACCACAGGCATCCCATGTGGAGCACCAAGGACTCAAACTGTTCACATTGGGATGCCTGAATTGCAGGTGGAGGGTGCAGGCTTATCTGCTGCACCATAATACTGGTGCCTACTACAGGTTCTCAAACAAATCTCTCTGCATTTCCCTCAGTCACAAATGCAGATTATAGTACAGAATTTCTCAAGGAAATTTCTTTGGAAATTTGATGCAGAGATAGAGTATCTGAGCTGACTTCATAAACACTAAGTTAAGTCTGTAATGTCTCTTTTAAAATATTTTTTTCTCTGCCATAATTGCATTGACTGTGCATGGTGTTTTCCTGGAAATTCTTCTCTGTTCAATCTCTTCATAGCTTCCCTGATGGTTTCTTGTCTTTTTCCCTGAATACTTCTACGTTCTTCTGAACATTGCTCATTCCAGAGTGACTATTGTCCCCCTTTCAGCCTACTGTGCAATTGCCCTTGACATAGTCTGGCCTTTCTGAACAGAAATTCCTGTTTCCCTCCAGCTTGGGCATTTTTCACAGCCTTTATACCACAGGTTTGATCCCCTGTTGAATGCTTCTGTGTGGCTGTCCAAATGCTCAACAAATCTGAAATGAAATGGCATCCTTCCTTCTTCCTCCATATGCATGCAGAAGTTATACAACTGCCATTTTTTGTTATGTGACAGAGTTGACATGTTGACCAGGAGTGTTCTATCACAGGTGATGATAGCATTTGAAGACCTGGCTGTGTACTTTACCTGGGAGGAATGGCAGAACATGAACCAAGCTCAGAAAATCCTGTACAGGGATGTGATGCTGGAGACCTACAGCAGCCTGTTCTCCTTGGGTGAGTGACACTCATCACATGCCCAGTGGTAACATTTTCTCACTATTTGACAAATAAGTGAGCACTATTTATCAACTTTATAAATGAGGGACAGGAATAGAATTTGAGTCCATGAAGAATCTGATTATATACCCTCTGAGAAGGAACTCAAATTGGAACATTTGTTGCATAGCTCCTGGACCAAGCTGTTCACCTTTAATTAACCCAAGATAGTGATTTCACAAAGTGTTACATTATTTCCATTAATAGGGCACTGCATGACCAAACCTGACTTGATCTTGAAGTTGGAGCAAGGAGCAGAGCCCTGGATGGGGAAAGAATGCTTACATCATAGCCTTCCAGGTCAGTGTGTACATAATGGTCAGGGAGGCCAAAGTAGAATCATTGCAGCAGATGTTGAGTGGTGCTCTTTCTATGAATTTTTTCCAAGTCTTACTTCAGACACAGTTATTCTACAGTATCTATGGAGATCATTATCTCTGGTAAAGGCAAAGGAAATGAAGTTTCATGTGTAAATCGGCAACTGATCAAAATCTCCAGAATTGCATATTATCACAGAGGAGTGTTTATGTAAAAAATGAAAGGAGGTCACCAGGAATGACAAATTCACAATGATATAGAAATAAATTTTCAAGAAATTGAGCAGATTCTGGTCTGCAGAAACAAATTCTTTAAATTGCTTGTGAATGTATACCAAAGGTGGTATATTGGGTCTTTCTGTAACTATTGTAGTTCTCAGAGGCTGAGGATATCAGGTTGCCTTAGAAATATCGGAAACTTTAATAGACTGCAGATAAAACAGTTTTTCATTAGAAAAATCCCACAAATACTGTTTCCCTGGGAAGACAGAACATGAGACAACCACAGATGCAAATCTTGTCCCTTAAATGTGATCCTGCTTGGAATACAGACACATTAAACTCTTCTCCACCTGCAAGAAAATGATCCAGTAAAAGTTTCCCATATTGATGTTTGAAATATCAGAGAAGTACAAAACAGACAATTTTAGAAAAATGAACTGGAATGAATAGGACAAGGAAAAATTGATTTCTTGGCAATAGCTGATTATTTTTACCAAACATATGTCCTTTCTTTAAAATCTTATATAGTTGTTTCACCTTTGTGAAAGGCAGAAAGTCAGTGAGAGGAGAAACAGTGAGAAAGAGATTTCCTATTAGCTACCTCCCCAGATACCTGCAACAGTTAGGTCTGACTAATTTGAAGCCAAAAGCCTGGCATTCCAACTATTCTAATCTGATGTATCACAGGGTCCCAAGCACAAGAGCCATTATCTCCTGCCCCCTGGTATACATTAGTAGAGAGCTGTATTTGAAGCAGAGTATCCTGGGCTTAAATTGGCACTGTTTTTGGATGCAGACATTCCAAGCAATGATTTGTATTCATTTTGTTAATTTTATCCCTCTTAAATACAAGTGACTTCATTCCTTTTACATGAGTATGCCAGGAAAAAGAATTATATTTGATTTATTGACAGCACTGTTTTTTTTCTCACTTCAGTTGCCATGAAAAGGGATGACCTGATTAGGAAAAACCAGAAAAGTCAGGACAAAAATCTGAATCAGGATGTTATGAAAAATAATAAGACATCAACTCCCAACATCACTGAATTAAGAAAAACACTTCATTTAAGTTCAAACCATATTCCAAAACTGAGTATCAAAAAGAGAATCTATTCAGGAATGAAACCTGAAAAATGCAATGTATGTCACAATGTGTATCTGCACTGTGGGCCTGTTCAACTACAAACTGGAGAAAAATTTGATGCTACTAATGTACCTGGGAATGCTCTCCAGATCTGTGAGAATCTTAATCAACAGCCCAAAATTCAGAGTGTGCAACAGGCATTTGAACCAATTGGAAAAGGGAAAGTCTTCAAAAGGAAAAATATATTTTGTCAATCTGAGAGGCATTTTATGGTAGAAAGTAAGAAGTCAACTGCCACTATTGGCAAGACAACTCAAATAGAACATGATTTCCATAAAAATTCTAACCTCAGTATGCATCAACAAAGTCCCAGAAGAGAGAAAGTTTATGAATATAGTAATTCTTTGGAACCTGTCATTGATCAATCACCTCTTAAAATAAATCATAGACCACATATAGGGAAGAAACCCTATGTATGTAAGCCTTGTGAAAAATCATTCAGTTATAAATTCTGCAATGCAATTCATTACAGTACTCACGTAGTGGAAAACTCTCATGTGTTTAATGAACATGGAGAAGCCACTTACCAGAAGTCACATCTCATAAATCATCAGAGAATTCACTCAGGTGAGAAACCTTATGAATGTAATGACTGGAAAATCCTATGGCCAGAAGTCACACCTCATAAAGCATCAGATAATTAACACAGGGAATAAACTTTATGAATGTAATAACTGTGGAAAAGCTTTTGGCCTTAAGTCACATCTCATAAATCACCAGAGAATTCACACGGGAGAGAAACCTTATGAATGCAGTGACTGTGGAAAAGCCTTTCATTATAAATCAACCCTCACAAAGCATCAGAGAATTCACACAGGGGATAAGCCTTATGAATGTAATGACTGTGGAAAATCCTTTATGTGGCAGTCACGTCTCATCCTACGTCAGAGAATTCACATGGTTGAAAAACCTTATGAATGCAATGACTGTGGTAAAGCCTGTAGCCAGAAGCCAAACCTCATAACTCATCAGAAAATTCACACAGGAGAGAAACCTTATGAATGCAATGAGTGTGGCAAAGCTTTTGGCCAGAAGTCACACCTCATAACTCATCAGAAAATTCACACAGGGGAGAAACCTTATGAATGTAATGACTGTGGAAAAGCCTTTGGGAAGAAGTCACACCTCATAAATCACCAGAGAATTCACACAGGGGATAAGCCTTATGAATGTAATGACTGTGGAAAATCCTTTATTTGGAAGTCACATCTCATGCTGCATCAGAGAATTCACACAGGGGAAAAACCTTATGAATGCAATGACTGTGGTAAAGCCTTTGGCCACAAGAGAAACCTCATAACTCATCAGAAAATTCACACAGGAGAGAAACCTTATGAATGCAATGAGTGTGGGAAAGCCTTTGGCCAGAAGTCACACCTCATAACTCATCAGAAAATTCACACAGGAGAGAAACCTTATGAATGCAATGAGTGTGGCAAAGCTTTTGGCCAGAAGTCACACCTCATAACTCATCAGAAAATTCACACAGGGGAGAAACCTTATGAATGCAGTGACTGCGGAAAAGCCTTTCGCTGTAAATCAACCCTCACAAAGCATCAGAGAATTCACACAGGGGAGAAACCTTATAAATGTAATGACTGTGGTAAAGCCTTTGGCTGGAAGTCCCATTTCATAAATCATCAGAGAATTCACACAGGGGATAAGCCTTATGAATGTAATGACTGTGGTAAAGCCTTTATGTGGAAGTCACTTCTCATCCTACATCAGAGAATTCACACGGGGGAAAAACCTTATGAATGCAATGCCTGTGATAAAGCCTTTGGCCACAAGCCAAACCTCATTACTCATCAGAAAATTCACACAGGAGAGAAACCTTATGAATGCCATGAGTGTGGGAAAGCTTTTGGCCAGAAGTCACACCTCATAACTCATCAGAAAATTCACACAGGGGAGAAACCTTATGAATGCAGTGACTGTGGAAAATCCTTTGGCCGGAAGTCCCATTTCATAAATCATCAGAGAATTCACACAGGGGATAAGCCTTATGAATGTAATGACTGTGGTCAAGCCTTTATGTGGAAGTCACATTTCATCCTACATCAGAGAATTTACACAGGGGGAAAACCTTATGAATGCAATGACTGTGGTAAAGCCTGTAGCCAGAAGCCAAACCTCATAACTCATCAGAAAATTCACACAGGAGAGAAACCTTATGAACACAACGAGTGTGGCAAAGCTTTTGGCCAGAAGTCACACCTCATAAACCACCATATAATTCACACAGGGGAGAAACCTTATGAATGTAATGACTGTGGAAAAGCCTTTCTGAAGAAGTCATCTCTCATCCTACATCAGAGGAGTAACACAGGGGAGAAACCCTATGAATACAATGACTGTGGGAAACCATTTGGTCACAAATCAAGCCTCATAAGTCATCAGAGAATTCACACAGCGTAGAAAGATTATGAATGTAATGACTGGAAAAGCCTTTCTGAGTAAGCTCTAGCACCCACATCAGAGAATTCGCACAGGGGAAAAACCTGATGAATGTAAAGACTGGAAAGTCTTTACCCATAAGTCAAACCTCAAAAGGCATCAGAGAAGTCACACAGGGGATAAACCTTCTGAATGCAATGACTTGGAAAAGCCTTTTGCCAAAAGTCAAGCCTTGTAAATAATTAGAGAAGCCATACAGAAGAAACCTTATGAATGTAATGACTGTGGAAAAGTTTTCTTTGCAAATTTCTATGCAATTCAGAGCTCAATGAATATCAAAGAAGTCACAGGAGAGAAACTTTATGATGGCAGTGAATGTGCAGAAGCCTCTGTTCATATGACAAACATCACAAAGTATCAGAGAATTCACATGGGGAGAAATGTCATGAATAATGATAGTAGAAAGCTTTTTGTTATAATTTTCAACTAATAAAACATCACAGAATTAACAGGGAATTTTCCACACAATTGCCTTTTTGTGCAAGTTCCTTTTCATTAAATAACAGAATCTATTAAGGGGAGAACAATAAGATTATAATCAGTGTGGATATGCCTTTGGTGCCAATTATACCTCATCAAGCATAACAGAATTCACATGGGGAAAATCTTATGAATGTAATGACTCAAAGTCTTTTACCATAACTTAGCCCACATTGCACATCATCAAATTCATACAGGGAAAAAAACCTTTGAAAGTAATCTTGTGGAAAAGCCTTTACTTAGAAGTCATACCCCACAAGACATCAGAGAATTCACATGGGGGAGAAATCTTATGAATGTAATGAGAGTTGGAAAGGTCTGCCAAAATCTCAGGTACAACATTAGAGAATTCACAAAGTGGAGATCTTATGAATGAAATAAATGTGGGAAAGCTTTTTGTCATAGGTCATACCTCATAATCCATCATGTAATTTGAACGGGGAAAGACTTTGAGAATATAATAAGGGGTTGGCTCTGTGGCTCATTCAGTTAATCATCCCCCTGTGGCACCGGCATTTCATATGGGCACTGGGTTCTGGTACTGGTCACTCCTTCCAGTCCAGGTCTCTGCTGTGGCCTGGGAAGGCAGTGAAGGATGGCTCAAGTCCTTGGGCCCCTGCACCAGCATGGGAGACCAGGAGGAAGCACCTGGCTCCTGGCTTTGGATCGGCATAATTCCAGCTGCAGCAGCCATTTGGGGGAGAACCAATATAAGAAAGATGTTTTTCTCTGTCTCTCTAACTCTATCTGTCATAGAAAGAGTGAGAGAGGTAGGGAGGGAGAGAGAGAGAGAGTGTATATATTGAATGTGGAAGAGTTTCCCTTCAAATAATGTAAGTATAAGGACAAAATTTTCTGCTGGAAATCACATCTTATCCAACAGGGACGCATGTAACGGAGAAAGCTTATAAATATTAATAGTGTTAAAAAAGCATTTGTCACAAATCTATCATACATCAGAGAATTCAGATGGGGGTTTCTTTTTTTTAACTTTTATTTAATAAATATACATTTCCAAAGTACAACTTTTGGATTATAGTGGCTTTTGTCCCACATAACCTCACTCCCACCTTCAACGATCGAACCTCCCACTCCCTCTCCCATCCCATTCACATCAAGATTCATTTTCAATTATCTATATACAGATAAATTTAGTATATACTAAGTAAAGATTTCAAGAGTTTGCACCCACAGAGAAACACAAAGTATAAAGTACTGTTTGAGTACTAGTTATGCCATTAATTCACATAGTACAACACATGGGGAGTAAGTGTACAGTGACTCCTGTTGTTGATTTAACAATTGACACTCATAAATAGATGTCAGTAATCAACCGAGGATCTTGTCATGAGCTACCATGGCTATGGAAGCCTCTTGAGTTCACCAACTCTGGTCTTTTTTAGACAAGGCCATAGTCAAATTGTAGGTTCTCTCCTCCCTTCAGAGAAAGGTACCTCCTTCTTTGATGGCTCATACTTTCTGCTGGGATCTCACAGAGATCTTTCATTTGGGCTTTTTTTTTTTTTGCCACAGTGTCTTGGCTTTCCATGCCTGAAATACTCTCATGGACTTTTTAACCAGATATGAATGCCTTAAGGGCTGATTCTGAGGCCAGAGTGCTGTTTAGCAGGACATCTACCATTCTATGAGTCTGCTGTGTATCCTACTTCCCATGTTTTTTGGTTCCCTCCTTTTTAATTCTATCAGTATTAGCAGACACTATTGTTTATATGATCCCTTTGACTCTTAGACCTATCATTACGATCAATTATGAACTAAAAGTGATCACTTTGACTAGTGAGATGGCATTGGTACATGCCACCTTGATGGAATTAAATTTGAATCCCCTGGCATGTTTCTAACTATACCATTAGAGGTAAGTCCAGTTGAGCATGTGCCAAACTGTACCTGTACTCCCTCTCTTATTCCCACTCATATTTAACAGGGATCACTCTTCAGTTAAACTTAAACACCTAAGAATAATTGTGTGTTAAATAAAGAGTTCAACTAATGGTATCCAGTACAACAACAAAAATACCAAAAGTAATAAAGTAGTAAGATTTCCCTCAAAAGTCAGGACAAGTGGTGATCAAGTCATTGTTTCTCATAGTGTCCATGTCACTTCAACAGGTTTCCTTTTAGGTGCTCGGTTGTCACCGATAAGGAAGAACATATGGTATTTGTCCCTTTGGGATTGGCTTATTTCACTCAGCATGATGTTTTCTAGATTCCTCCATTTTGTTGCAAATGACCGGATTTCATTGTTTTTGACTGCTGTATAGTATTGTATAGAGTACATGTCCCATAATTTCTTTATCCAGTCTACTGTTGATGGGCATTTGGGTTGATTCCAGGTCTTAGTTATTGTGAATTGAGATGCAATAAATATTAAGGTGTATATAGCTTTTTTGTTTGCCAATTTCATTTCCTTTGGGTAAATTCCAAGGAGTGGGATGGCTGTGTTGAATGGTAGGGTTATATTCAGGTTTCTGAGGAATTTCAGACTGACTTCCATAGTGGCTTGACCAGTTTGCATTCCCACCAACAGTGGGTTAGTGTCCTTCTTTCCCCACATCCTCTCCAGCATCTGTTGTTGGTAGATTTCTGAATGTGAGCCATTCTCACCGGGGTGAGGTGAAACTTCATTGTGGTTTTGATTTGCATTTCCCTGATTGCTAGTGATCCTGAATAATTCTTCATGTGCTGTTGGGCATTTTGATTTCCTCTTTGAAAAATGTCTATTGGGGTCCTTGGCCCATCTCTTAAGTGGGTTGTTTGTTTTGTTGTTGTGAAGTTTCTTGATCTCTTATTTATTTACTTTTTTCTTTTTTTTTTTAGTCAGGCAGAGTTAGAGAGAGAGAAAGGTCTTCCATCCATTGGTTCACCTCCCAAATGTCACTATAGCTGGCACACTGTGCCAATCCAAAACCAGAAGCCAGGTGCTTCCTCCTGGTCTCCCATGCTGGTGTAGGGCCCAAGGGCTTGGGCCATCTTCCACTGCCTTCCCAGGACACAGCAGAGAGCTGGACTGGAAGAGGAGCAACTGGGACTAGAACCTCGAGTGCTGGCGCCACAAGTGGAGGATTAGCCTATTGAGCCTTGGCGCCAGCCAATCTCTTTGTAGATTCTGGTTATTAAAACTTTATTGGTTGCATAGTTTGTAAATATTTTTTTTTCCCATTCTGTTGGTTCCTCTTCACTTTCCTGACTGATTCTTTTGTAATACAGAAACTTCTCAATTTGATGTAATCCCAGTTGTCAATTTTGGCTTTGACTGACTGTGCCTCTGGGGTTTTTTCCAAGAAGTCTTTGCCTGTGCCCAGATTTTGTAGCATTTCACCAATGTTCTCTAATAATTTGATAGTGTTGGGTTGTAGATTTAGATCTTTAATCCATGTTGACTTGTGTAAAGTATAAGGTAAGAATCTTGCTTCATGCTTCTGCATGTGGAAATCCATTTTTCCCAGAACCATTTGTTGAATAGACTCTCCTTGCTCCAGGAATTAGTTTTAGCTCCTTGATCAATTAAAAGTTGGTTGTAGATGTTTGGATTGATTTCTGGTGTTTCTATTCTGTTCTATTGGTCTCTCCATCTGTTTCTGTACCAGTACCATGCTGGTTTTTCTTTCTTTTCTTTCTTTTTTTTTTTTTTTTTGACAGGCAGAGTGGACAGTGAGAGAGAGACAGACAGAGAGAAAGGTCTTCCTTTGCTGTTGGATCTCCCTCCAGTGGCCGCCGCGGCCAGCGCACCATGCTGATTCGATGGCAGGAGCCAGGTGCTTCTCTTGGTCTCCCATGGGGTGCAGGGCCCAAGCACTTGGGCCATCCTCCACTGCACTCCCTGGCCACAGCAGAGAGCTGGCCTGGAAGATGGCCAACCGGGAGAGAATCCAGCACCCCAACCAGGATTAGATCCCAGTGTGCCTGTGCCGTAAGGTGGAGGATTAGCCTAGTGAGCTGCAGCGCCAGCCCACCATGCTGTTTTGATTACACTGCCCTGTAGTATGTCCTGAAATCTGGTATTGTGATGCCTCCGGCTTTGTTTTTGTTGTACAAGATTGCTTTAGCTATTCGAGTTCTCCTGTGTCTCCATATGAATTTCAGCATCATTTTTCCAGATCTGAGAAGAATTTCATCGATATTTTGATTGGTATCTCATTGAATCTATAAATTGCTTTTGGCAGAATGGACATTTTGATGATATTGATTCTTCCAATCCATGAGCATGGAAGATTTTTCCATTTTTTGGTATCCTCTTCTATTTCTTTCTTTAAGGTTTTGTAATTCTCATCATAGAGATCTTTGACATCCTTGGTCAAGTTTATTCCCAGGTATTTGTTTTTGTAGCTATTGTGAATGGGATTGATCTTAGCAGTTCTTTCTCAGCTATGGTATTGCCTGTGTACATAAATGCTGTTGATTTTTGTGCTTGGATTTTATTACCTGCTACTTTGCCAAACTCTTCTATGAGTTCCATTATTCTAGTAGAGTTCTTTGGATCCCCTAAATAAAGAATCATATCATCTGCAATGAGGGATAGTTGAATTCTTCCTTCCCAATTTGTATCCCTTTAATTTCTTCTTGCCCAATGGGTTTGGCTATAACTTCCAGTACTATATTGAATAGCAATGGTGAAAGTGGGTATCCCTGTCTAGTGTAATGAATGTGGAAGACATTTTCTGGGAATTCAGGCTTGTATGAATATAGAATTTAAAAAAGGTCATATTTTTTGAATGCTGTAAGTATGAGCATTCCATTAGCCAGAAATTAGACATCAACAGACTTCAGAGAATTCATAAAGAGAAAAATCAATGTAATGAATGTGAAAAAAATCCTTCTGCTATAAG